TTCATCAGACTCGATCAATCCAAGCATGTCTCAGATACGGATCCAGAACTGAATTCTTTAAAACAAAATGGCCGCCAGTCGGCCATTTCGAACCCGATCCAAAAAAAAAAATGACGTGCATCAAGGTCCTATTATGTTTAATGTATGTACCAAATTTGAACAAAATCCGTCCATGCATAACTGAGATCCGGGTCCGGAATGGTGAAAATGTGCGATTTTGATGCATTTTCGGCCTTAAAATGGCCGCAATTCGGCTATCGTTAATCGGATCATGAAAAAAATGCATGTGCATATGTCCCATATAATGTGTGATGTATGAGTGAAGTTTGAACTCAATCGGTCCATGCATGTTCGAGATACAGGTGATCACGGACGCACGGACGCACAGACGCACGGACGCACACAGGGCAAAACATAAGTCCCCGTTTTCAGACTGCGTCCGAACGGGGACTAACAACTGGCATAAAAAAATGCAGCTCAAATTATTTTAAAATAAGAAATAAATTATCATTAATTCAAAACACGATCCTGTGAATTCCTAATAAAGTTGACTGTTGAGATTTCGCAGTACTCTCAGAACCAATTCACGAAGTGACTACAAAAAAAAAAGATATTAAAAAGCATTATAAAAAGAACAGGGAAACTTATTTTGTTCAACTTGATGAATGGCAAAGCCAATTTTTGTTTTTGACCTATAGCCAACTGCTATGTCAAACATAAGCAGCACTTATTTTGACTGAGCACTTATTTGCTATACAGGCAAATATATTCATATCGGTTATGTGGAAAGTTCTGTGGAAATATTATTCTTACTGGTTGCGAGAGAACCATAAAGAAGGAATCAAGGACAAGAGCTCAGTTGAACATGATAATATTTCTCATCAAAATTTTGCAGTTGAATTGAAGCATACAGTATATATAGAAGGCAGTATTTGATACATAGAAAAAGAACCTGTCAACAGGCAAACTGGTTTCTGATAAGGTCTGAAAGTGTCAACAAATTCATTAAATTTTATTTCCAAGAGTGCTTTAAAATCATCAAATTGCAAAATTGTCAAGCAGTGAAAATTAATTGGTTTACAGTACTTTACCTGTGGTTTGCAATACTCCTCCAACCAACTGAACACACCTTGTGACAATTCAGCAAAACTGACTACTGATATTGAAGAATTAAAGGACTGGAACTGTGCATCCATGATGGTTTTAAACTGAAGAATAAGAATAAGGAACATCCCATTATTACAATGACAACAGCAATGAAATCGCATTATCACAATGGCGACAGCGGTAAGATATGGAGAGGATGACAAAATTGCAGAACATAATGACAAATATAGGAGATATATGACAAAAAGAAGATGACAAAATCTCTGCATGTAATTCCTATCTACTGGTGGAAGCAGTGAAACTTGACTAGGAAGATAAATTGAGTATGCTTACGTAAATTACAGAGGTAAAATTTTAATGATTCAGTATCTAT